AATCTCTCACTTTTTTATTGATTATTCCAAAACAAATCAAGTATTGATCAAACAGATGAAAGATAAAACCGAAACAATTTACTAACAAATGTCTACCGAAATCTCGGTCACCACACTTAAATTGATAATGTCTTCATTCTTGAATTGGCTACCTACCATTTAAAAACTGATACAATAATTCAAAATAAACTCTTACAGATATATCTATGAAAGTCTTAAAGATACCTACATATAAATTCTTCCATAAAGTTAGATCTTCTTTTTTTTATACAATAAAATGAAACTTTATTTTCTGAATTGAGTAAAATAAAATTTCACATTTTTTTTTATTAAAAAAAGATTATTGTTCACCTTTTTATTTTTTTATTTAACACTGAAAATATCAAACAGTTCTCTTCATTATTAATCCCGCTCCTATTTTTTAAATTAATATTATATCTTTCTCTTGTGTTAAGAATAGGATTTCAAAAATTTTTTACTTTTCAACAGTTATATATCCTTTATATTTATGAAATACTTTATTTCATTATTTTCTTTATTTTCATAGTAGTAAGTAAGAAATGTTGATACTTCTAATGTTAATAAGATTTAAGAGCTGAAATTCATGATAAATATTTGGTAAAATTTCTTTTAATATTAAAAATTAAAATATTGCACATTTTCTGAAAAAGTTCACGAAGATAAAAGCAAAGCAACTGGAAATTTGTTCAGATATATCTTAGTTGAATAGAAATACAATTCTACATACCTATCTCTTTTTCAGTCCGGAAGAGCCCGGAATACTCACTACGGCAAGACAGGAAAAGCAAAAGCGATATATACACGCAGAGAAGAAGAAAATAATGCACATTTTCTACATCGCGCAAACGAGAATGGTAGATTCTTTTCTCCTTGACAATATTGAATGGCCCAATATGAGAACGTGATATCCCATAAAATAAAAAAAAAACATTATTAAAAAACCAGTTTAAATTGTCTTTCTAGTAGCTTGTGTCAGCTCTAATTTGTTCTATGAATTACATAATAATGGGATAATGCTCTTATATATGTAGGGGTGTGTGTGCGTGCGCGCGTGTGTGTGTGTGAACTAAAATAGTTTGAAAACTAACTAAGATGAGGATCCTTTACAGAAACATAAATAAAGTTGTGAAATAAAATTTCTTCCCTTCGCTTTATTTCCGAGAAAAATGACTTGAAGGATTAATATCTTTGTACTCTTCTTCTATAATTTTCAGTATATTAACTTTCTAATAAAAGTCTATTTTCTCACAAAAACGACTTTCTGCGGGTTAGCTCACTCTCTCGTTGTACCACTCGATTATGTTTCGTGTCTTATCGAGCACGAATAAACTTCTTTGGCTTTCATTGACTACCGCCGACGCAATAACGCATCCCCGTGGGACGAAGATATTTCCTCCCTCGTCTCGTAAAACTGCAAGTCTTGTAACGCGAGACGGCGCGGCGCGGCGCCTCGGGATATAAGGTAAGAAAGGATTATTCCTAGTCGATTTCAAGTAAAAATAAACCGCAAAAAAAAATCATTAAATCTTTTTAGTCTCCAATGAGAGCTGGGAATATTAATCTGGAGTTTAAATTAACTTTAAAATTGGCAAAACTTATTTATACAGTCGAGCATAAAAACGTTAAAAAATTAGAATTTATCTTCCTGAGAAATTTAAATTAAATTAAAAACTAGAAAGATTAATATATTTAAGTGGAATAAGTTTAAATTAAAAAACTCTATATATAAAATGCCTTCAAGAAAAATTATTCAAATCTAATGCCACAAATTCTTTAATTCTTCTTAACTTAACCATTAAACATAAGAAAGAATAATTTATTTGATTAAGAAATTATAGGTTTATATATATATATATATATATATATATACACACATACATATATTTAAATGGAATAAGTATAAAATAAAAGATTAAATTTAATTTAACAAATTATTGGATTAAATCAATTAGACATTAAAAATAAAGAAAAATAGTATTTAGACCAATTTGCAAGTATTTCATATCACCAGAATTATTAGAATTTATCAACAACAGGATTTTCTCCTTAAAATCATACATAATCTATTTATAATATTAGTAATAACTAGAAAGAAATGTTTAATAATGTTACATATTTTTTCCTTTACATTTAAAAAACAAAAATATTATGAATAGTCTTAACTAAAGAAAGAGTTGCATTCTCAGATTCAAGTTTGAACTCATTTACAAGAACCCGGCCTCTCTGAAATTGCAATCTGTATGTGGAGAAATGGAACGTGGTACAGTTTGCGGTGTATAACTTATTCAATAGGTCAGTCTCTATTCACCGTGGCTAGTGAAAAGGGGTAAATGACGATGATCAGGTTCAGAAGAAGAGAAATAGGGAACATGAAAAAGAAACGAGGAAGCAGAAAACGCGAGAGAAGAATAATAAAAACACACTTCATCCGAAATTAATATGGAGAGCTTGCAAAGTATACAAATTGACAAGCGTGATCTATACACGATATTATCTGTATAATGTTCTATAGATCTCCGCGTTCCTTTATCCACGGATTCCTTGGTTCATTTCCTGACTTCACGTCGACGAAAACACGAGACGGCTTACATCCTTTGACATGTAAAATCTAGAAGACTTTGCGTTCGCGGACTGATAACGAAACGTTTGTCGTTCAAGGGGGAACTTAACGTTGAGACCTGTATATAAATCCGTCTCGTTTCTTAAAACGTATTTTCAATTCCTTGAATATCTTCAGATTTTGACATTTCGAAGAGAAAATATTTTCTCGTGAAGGAAACGTGAAACAGAAAGTTCTAACGAAATTTGGCGCCCAATTTCGTTTCAAATCAAAGAATAAACAAGTTTAAACAATTGCACGTGGTTGCAGTTAAAAATGGTTAAGCGAAAGGCAAATTTACGCACGTATTGCGATATTTTGTTTATCGTCTTATGTTAACAATTGCAAATCAGCCGACTGCTGTCAACTGCGGACAACAGTTTAAACTTGTCCGTTTACGAATGTCATTTTCGCCTATTGTTAAGCTACACGTGTCTCCAAATAAATTCAAATCTGAAAAATAATCATCCTTGAAAAACAATTGAAAACTGGCAGTCAAGAGAAATACATACGAACATCCGAAAACCACCGAATATTTTTTTCGTGAATCTTATACTAATCGAGAATCGATTATTTCTTCGACGAAAACGTCTATATACTCTCTCGCGTAATTAAAAATCAGATAACAAATAAAATACGAAACGAGAATATAAATTGTTAAATAAAATGTGCTAATAAAATAAAAAAGAAAAACTATTAAATAAACAATAAAACAATTTTTAAGCGAATTAAAGATATTACACGTATTTTTTGAAAAAGAAAAAATTGGAAAAAAATACAAAATCTTTGGCAGTGATTTGAATAAAAAATTATTTCAATAAAAAGTAGACATGTTTTAAAAATATAGTTAAAATGAAATGAGAAAATTTTTATTTAAACTATAAAATGATATTATTAAATATTAAATATTGGCCTTATTGAAATGTTTTTCGTATGGTAAATATAACATATATTTTTACATGGAAAATATATTTTTTCAATTCCAGTCACTTTTTGCAGACTATATACACTTAATACATCCTTGTTTCAAGAAAAAAATTAAATAGCAAAATTATATCCTCTAGTCAACTTGAAAGAAATTTTAGTGAAACTAAAGTTCAACAGAATTTTAATTCGAAGCTTTGTTACAAAGATACACAATGTAAAAAACAAAACGGTACGTTGAGAAAGGAATACTATGGAAAAGCCGTACCCAAATTGTGTGTCTGTAATTAAAAGAATGTCCGGTGGTAACATGGACGCGCTTTAGATGGTAAAATAATTTGTGCAGCGTTTTACATTATTCACGCCATATATTATCACGAAACTTCCAAGTTGCGTGCAAACGATGTCTCACGCTATCTCTCTAAATGAAAAAGCGTATTATTTCCGTTTATTTACTCGGATTTGTTTGCCTCGTTTTGATCGCAATCTTATCAGCCGAAATGTTCCAAATATCTCTGCAATCGATAGCGATAAACTCGCGAGAACAATCGGCTATTATAAATACATTAATATAATTGTACACTTATAACATCGATGACAAAACTTTCAAATACGTTTGACGTAGCACGAACACGCACGAAAAGAATGATTTTGCAAAATATCTAAAAATTTAGCTAGATACAGATCTGAAAAAAAATTTTGTTGAACCGTCGGAATAATTACATAGAATTTCTCAAGTATAACGAGGAATGTTGCATAATCTTGATATTCTAGCAATTAATTTGAAGATTCTATATATATAGGTAACTATTTTATAATTCAAATAAAGTTATTTTGAGAGATTCATATTTAGCTAAATTTTTAAATACTCCAGAAAAATCGTCACTTCTGTGCGCACTTCCACAGTGCCTTTAAAATTGCTTAATTGCTATTTATTTTAACGTTTTGTTAAATTATTATCCCAAGCAACTAATTTTTTTTCAGTGTTTATCAGAGATGTTAATAAAAAAGGAGATAAAAAGTTAATTTTTTACGCGTCAAACACGCCTATGAATATTCGACATGCATTCCTTTTTTGTTTAATATTCAATTGATTCCACTAAACGAGGATTAGCGCAAATATTTATTTGCCGCGAGAGTTGACACAGAATACGTCGACAAAAATTAATATCTAATAAATGAATTTCGTTCACATTTAATAATGCGATCGATGTTGTTTAAAAGTGAATTCGCGCATTTTTGCTTCCCTCTTTTATGCAAAATTACAAAAAAAGATTAAAGCTTTGTTATTTTTGGATGAATTAGTACGCCTGCAAACACGCTAAATATGATTTCGGTCTACGCGGCTCTAAAAGAGGTCGAAAGCTGCGAAGTTCACAAACGTGCGGAATTTTCACATTCTTCGGTTACATCAAATCTACTTTGTGGAATTGGGTAACTTTACAAAGGTACTCACCGGAACAGCAGGAAGCCCAGACCTGTAACCGCGGCTCGTCGAACGTCATCGTTAACATCAGAGACCTGTTACAAGAAAAAAAGATCGCGGATTCAATACTCCGCCAGAAATTCAACCTCTCTTCTCTTTGATTTGAAATCGACACAGAACCATCTGTCTTTCGGATTCAATTAAAATTAGTACATAAAATCAAAAGAATTCATTCCAATTTATACACAGGGTGTGCATGAATTAGTGTCAAATATTCTAAAGACGTATTCCCCTTGACTAAGCATTAAAAAAAAGTTCATATGTCTAGAAACGCTTAGTTTCTGAGGTAGGAGGAATTTTATTGTTTAACAGTATCAAACAATTAAAACAATTAAAAACTAAACTTTGCTAGATCCATGTTTGTACAAACTTTTTTCAATGTTGGATCGGAATATTTGACTTTTCACCCTGTATATGCAAAGTAAGCATGAATAATTCAAAATGTTTCTCAAAGGTTTCTCATCTTTTATCTAAATACGAATAATAATACGTGATATTTTTATCTAGAAGCGATCTAAAGAGAAAACGCGGTCAAAAATGTTTGAATGCACTACTCTATGTGTGTACAAGAAAACCATTAATAAAATAATAAAATAAAATCTATGTACAATATTAAGGCAGATAACATGATAAAATTAGAATATATAGATTAGAGATGAAATGAAAATCAAATGAAATTTTAAAAAATAAGAAAATAAAATATACTAATTGAATCAACAAAAATACATAATCTACGAGTCTAGTGGTCATACCGGATAAACACTTACGGCAACATGCAGGAGTTTGCGGATGGCCTGATTGTTTCCAGTGCCACAGTAAGCCATCGCCAGCGTATACATGCCGCTTCTACGCAAAATCGGATCCTTGTCGGCGCACAAAGACGTCACCAGGGGATCGGCCTCCTCGAGGCGGCCGTACATCGTGAAGGCGATACCGACCGCCAGACCACGTAAGATCTTCTCATGTTGTGTCTCTTGGGCATACTGGAAAAGCAAAAGCCTCTCGTAAGAAACTCGATAATCAGATAAATCTCGAAATCTGAAATATCTTCTCCTTGCATTTTATCCTCAATAAACACCGAAAAGATAATAAATAGTATTTTCTTTGTCTTGCAGTAATGTCGATGACTGCGCGTCCATAAATACACAGTTGTATACGTACTATGTAGTACTCATTTTAGCAGTTAGAAATTATTTTTCTAATCGATAAAATAATCGATATGGTAAGTATTTACATTTAAGTGTGTTCACGTTTAAAAGTGTTGCCTCGTTAAAAGATTATTTTTATCCGGTTATCTAAATTAAATTTTAATTTTGTTATTCTAAAAAATAAAATTCAGAAACATCTTCAATAGCTGCAAATTAATATTTGTCAATTCTCGTGCAAAAAGAAATTGTTCATCTCTGAGAGAAAACTTTTCTCTCACAAATTTAAATTCTTTTTTTGTTTCTGAAAACTTCGTTCCGTCGAGTTGTACACTTTTAACGTTGAATGATCCGCATTTATTTCGCACAGATCTACAATTAATGCAAGCTGCTTTTTGCAGGAGATCGAGATGTGCTTGTGTGTTACTTAATCACAGCCGCTAGGATACATTATGGAACCCGTAATGGGTAACTCGATTAAACCGACCGACTAGTGGCAAGTTATGATTCGTTTAGCATCGACCTGCTGCTGCTTGCAGCGGTGGCCGGCAGCGACGAAAATTAAAGCTCGTTTCAACCGCGTGCAAAACTACTTTCCGCGAAAAACGTAGAAACTAAAATGCGACTACGGTTTTGGGAGACTCGGAAAGAAAAACTTTACAGATTAACGCGCGAAAAGCGTGAGAAAAAACACAACGAGATTGTGTCTTTCCCGGCCGGAATCGGCTATTCCCAGAGAAAATAGAATCTTTATCTAAAATCATTTAATACACTAAAGAAACACATACTAACTCTTTTAAAAACATGTAATTCCTTATTTCTCAGAAATTAACTATTGCACTTTATTAATAATAATAAAAACATGAGTTTTTTAGTTAATTAAAAAAGTGTAAATTCGTATATTTGTGGCTTGTTTTTATATGAAATTGGCTAAAAACGAATTCCATGAATGCAAAAATAAAATCCTTACGATTTTCTTTTGCAAATTGCGTAATTTAAATAATAGTCACTATATATTACTAATAATGCTACGTCGTTTTAAATGCTCGTAGTTTCCTAAATCAGTTTTATTTATATTATTTTCTTTCTTAATTTTTTCATAATATAGTTTTAAATATATAAACTCGGGGTGCAACGTAAACCGGCACACCTGTCTGTAAAACAAATCATGAGCTAACTTAATCTTTATAATGTTGCTTTATAGTATCAAACTCTATCGGAGCTGAAAACAATGACATATACGAGGTATGATCAAAAAGTAAGGTGACTTTTTGAATTTCGCGCGCTCTGTACACTCTAATTTCAAAATTTTTTTGTTGTTGTGTTGGTAC